CTTTGGCTGACATAGAAATTATTGTACATTCTCTGAACTTTGCAAATTTGGTGAAAGAAAGCTGAAACCATATCTAAGGACAGGTAAAGGGACAAATTTCTGTTTTAAATAATACTCAATGGATTTATGATCATTAATTTGGATGTTCCCTCCAAAGAATAAGATCATAATCCATCCAAGCTTGCCCATTTTGTGGGAATCTTGTATGTGTCCTCCCATAAACTGGGGCTCACTTAACTTGCTAGGGATCTTCCTCACTATCTTCTGACAATGTGATATCAGTGTAGCATCCACCTCTCTCTTACCATGTGACCAGCTTATTTTCTCTTCCTATCACATTTTCTGCTGATAATATATTTTACTTCTTCCTGTTATTCACAATTCCTCATTGTTTTATGATATGGCCTGATCACAATATGCTTATTTATTTCCTTGTTAAGGGCAGCTAGATGACGCAGTGGATAGACTGTCAGGTGTGGAGTCAGAAAGACTCATCTTCCTGAGTTCAAATCTGGCCTCAGATACTGTGACTCTGGGCAAGTCACTTAACCCTGTTTGCCTCAGTTTCTTCATCTGTAAAATGACCTGGAAAAGGAAATGACAAACCATCCCTGTATCTTTGCCAAGAAAACCTCATACGGGGTCACAAAGAGTTGGACACAACTGAACAACAATAATTGTTAAATTCACTAATAGTTTTTTGGACATTATATTGTTCTATGGACCACAGCTAAATAGCACCCTCAATAGAATAATATTATTAAAAAGATGGAATCATTGTACATGTATAGCCTATATCAGATTATATGCTATCTTGGGGAGAGGGGAGGAAAGGAAAGGGGAAAAATATAGAACTCAAAATCTTGTAAAAGTGAATCTTGAAGGGGCAGCTACGTGGCACAGTGTATAGAGCACCAGCCCTGAAGTCAGGAGGAACTGAGTTCAAATCTGGCCTCAGACCAAACACTTGACACGTACTAGCTGTGTGACCTTTGGCAAGTCCCTTAACCCTGATAGCCTCACCAAAAAAAAAAAAAAGTGAATCTTGAAAACTAAAAATAAATAAAAAGAAAAGAAAAGAAAAGAAAAGATGGAATCATTAAAGTAGCTTTCAAAGTCCTGAAGGCAATCCAACCAGTGGTGTCAATTTGTATCATCTGTCCCAATTACATGTAAAAATACAATGCTACTATTACTAATAATAATAACCACTTATATAGTATGTTATGACTTACAAAACACTTTACACAACATTGTTTCACCTGATATAGAGCATTAAGTTCATTTAGCAATGGACAACTCAACCATCAGGGATCTCGGAGCAAGCAAGCTTAATTTCCACTGCTTTCTGTTTAGAAGAATCCAGCTATATCAAATTGACTCTGGAATCAAATTTCCAAATAAAATGTTGGTATCAGGAAGAAAAGACCTCCAAGTTGCCTTTATAATGAGGAAAATATAACTATTAAACTCTTTAAACCTTCAGGACTTTTTAATCATAACTCCCCCCATCCCCCAACCCACCCAGCTCATTAAGATTTTATTCAAATGCTCGTCAAGCATACATTCTCCTGGGCTCTGCTTTTCCATTTCAGTAGCATGGAAATCACATAAGGCAGGAGAGTAATTCAAAAACATTATTGAGCTGAATCACTTTTGATGCTGCTAGAAGAGTTCTTATAGAAAATGCACCAAGAGCTACAGTTCCCTAGGGATGCCTGCAATTCATTCCACAGGAGTTCATCACTTCCTAGCTGATGGCTTCAAAATGCTGATTTTATTCTAAGTTTCAAGGGCACACACAAAGATTTTTTTTTAAATCTAATAGATCTATATATTAACTTTGTAGACTCCTTGGGGGTCCAGACGCTTTAGAAGATTAGTAGGGACATACAGCAATTCATTTTTAGGCCACTATATAAAAACTCATACAATCTGTTCACAAGCAGATATCTGTTTGTCTCTTATGGCAAGGAAAGTCTGAGTGGAAAAGAAATGACTATACTTGGTTCCACCTCTAATAAAATGGAACAGAAGGATTTCCATCATAATAAGGTAATGGCATTTTAAGATTTCTTAGCCTAAGAAATGATTCTTCACCTCTTTCTCTTCTTTATAGAGATGGGGGATTATGGGTGTGGAATATCTCACTTGCCATCAGACACAATTGATGTGTTATTTCATTTTGTGGAACTGCTTTTTTATTTTATTTTTTTATAATTTAAATTTTAATTGATAATTCACTGCCATCATTACAAATATCAGTTATTGTAAGTGCTGTGCTATAATGATCCTATAAGAGAATAAGAGATACTATAAGAGAATACTGAAGTGAATAGGTCTATTTGCCCTAAAACTAACTGCCCCCAGAAAGCTGTACTTTTTGAACTATTCTTTTTATTTTATTTTTATGGCATTTATTATCTTTCCTCTCCAGAACCTCTTCCAATAGAATAAAAAACTTCTCACAATAAATACATGGAATCCAACAAACAAATTCCTACATTGGCCATGTAGAAATATTTATGTCTCCTTCTGAATTAGCTATCTAGCAGGAGATGGATGTAATGATTCATCTTCAGTCCTCTGGATTGGCCCGATTTAAACTCAAGAAAGGCCCTGCACACTATCCACTGGGCCACCTGGGTGCCCTAATCATACATTGATGATACTAGAGCATATTTATACTTCAAAATTATTACTGCTTATAATAACATTAATATATACAAAAGTACTTTAATGACAATCTGCAATTTGCTGAGCACTTTGAAGTACACAAAGAAGCTGAAGACTTACCCTCAATGCATTTGTGATAAGACTAAGGACATGAAACATTATCAAATAAAACAATAGAATGAAAGGAGCAGCTTTAGCCTGAGGCACCTCACTGGTACAGTAGATTGCTTTCTGGTCTTGGAGTCAAAGAAGACTTGAGCTTGACTTCCCACCTCATACTTACTAGCTGTGCCACTCTGAGCAAATCACCTAGTCTTCCTGTGCCTCAGTTTCCTCATCAATAAAATGAGAGTATTGGCATCAAAGGGGGTCAATGAGGTCTAAAGTAATCAGGAAAGGCTTTGTAGGAGGTGAGACTCGAGAAGGTCCTGGAAGGACAGGTAGGATTTGAACAAGTATAGTGGAGAGAGAAGCGCAATGATAGAAGTGAAGGCAACAAGGCAGGAATGTGAATGCCCTTTCCATAGAAAAACAGAGACCAACCTGAAGGTATGCAATTTGGACATAAGGTTGAACTCTGAAAGCCAGGTAGAGCAATTAATACTTGATTTAGTAGAAAATAAGAAGTTAGTATGAGATGAAAACAACATATATGCACTACCTATCACATCCTAAATTGTGATGACATGTGAAAAACTAGAAGTTGGACTAATATTTTATATCTGATATAGCTGTTAGCCCTTAGAGTTGAAGTAAAATTAGGAAGATATTTTTATTCTGGTTCCAGCATTTAGCACAATGCCTGGAACACAGTAGGTGCTTAATAAATATTTCCTGGATTGGATTGGAAAAGAGTAAAAATCACCTTGTTGTACCTTGTTCGAGTCAGGCTGCTGCTTTAAGTTTTGAGCATGAATTTTAAGTAAGACATTGACAAGCTGGTGTGTCCAGAAAAGGGTGACCATGTTGACAAAGGGGTTTAGAGATCATTCCATAGTAGGGATGGTTGAAGGAACCTTGAGAAGAGAAGACTTAGGGGAGTCATTGTACCTGTCTTCAAGTATATGAAGAATTGCCTTGTGGAAAAGGGGTGACACATGTTGGGCTTGGCGCCAGAGGACAGAACTAGAAGGAATGGGCAGAAGTAGCGGAGATGCAAATTTAGGTTTAATGTGAGGAAAAAATTTCCCAACAATTAGGGCTATTCTCAAGTAGAATGGTCTGCCCTAGGAATCAGTATGTTTTTCTTCATTAGAGATCTTCAAGCAAAGATTGAATGACAGCTTGGAGATGTTGTAGAGAGATTCCTGTTCAGGAAAGAGTTGGGTCAGATTGCCTGTGAAGGCCCTTCTAGCCCTGAGGTTCTGTGGTTCCTACTGATAATGCTTTCCCATCTAAGGTTACTGATCTGATTTTACATGGTATTTAAGGATGATACTTCTCTGAAAGTAGCCTTGACTAAAATCCTGGATCTGCCATTTTGTGACCTTGGGCAAGGCATTTAACCTCTTCTATGGCTCAGATCTCTGATAAGGAAAAATGGAGGGGGGGGGGCTTAGTCTAGAAGGCCTCTCTCTAAGCTCTAACTCTATGAACCAATAAATTCTCTTAGACCACATTCTTATTTATAAAATGGATATAATAACTACTGCCTTGCCTATATCACGGGACTGTGGTAAGGAAAGCCCTTTGGAAACTGTAAAATACAAAAAACAAACATGTAAATGAGATCCATTATTATTTTAACAGAAATTTCATTTTAGAGGTTGGCATAATAATTGTCTGCTGCTAAATATGTGGTTTCTAAAGTACCACTAAGTACATAAAAAGGTACCTAGTGGTTTTATGCATATGTGAGTGTATCTTTATATATTAAGTATTTATATATCTTGAATATGTGTATATGTATCAGTAAATAAATATATAACATTATATCTATATCTATATTTATATATCTGTATCTAAACATAAATATATGAATAATATATAAATATAAATATATCTATATCTATACGAATATATGTACATATATATATTTCTTATTGGGAAGGCAGGATGGTGCTGGGAAAGGCATCCTGCAGAGGACAGGATTTTATCTGAGTGTTAGAGACAGCCAGGAGGCAGGGGTGAGAAGGGAGGGCATTCTAGGCATAGAGCCAAGTAAAAGGCACAGAATTGGGGAAAAAAAAAATCCACATTTGGAAGAGTAGGAGGGTTAAAGCAGAGAGTGAAGGTGGTCACTCTATTAACAGCTGTCCCTATCCCCAATAAACAAAATCCCTGCCTCCTTGGTCTAGATTTCCTTCGTGCCTGCTGCTTCTTACCTTGCCTTCCTGGTAGAAGTAGCTTTGCTCCTTGGGGCCCAGGCGCCTGGGCGGGATGTAGCTGAACTCCGACAAAGCAGAGACGGGCGGAGGCTTGGGCTTCACTCTTAGCCTGTCCTCAGTAATCTCCTCCTCATCCTCCTCAGCCATGCCTCCTGCCTTCTCAGAGGTCCTCAAGGCGTCCCCCCGCCCCAGCAGCAGGAGAAATGGAAAAGGTTTCTGCGTTCTTTGGTTACTAGGCAACCGCTGCAAAGTAGCATTCCAAAGAGGCAGGCGCACAATTGGAGGAGAAGGCTATGGGCTCTTTTTCTAGGTCCTACCCCTCTCCCCTCTTTGCCTCGGGGCGAACTTGTAGGATCCTAGACCTAGAGTTGTAAAGGACCCCAGAGACCATCTGGCCCAGTGCAACCCTGTTATTTTACAGATAAGGAAGTTGAAGCTCTTAGAAGTTAGGGGGCTTGTACAAGGTTACACAGATAGAAAGCATCAGGTGGAATTTGAACTTAGTTCTCTGATTCCAGAACAAGTTCTAATGCTTTCACAAGAGTGGAGGGTGTACTTTCAATTTATAAATAGGATGCTTCTTCCTTTTCCTCTCACCTCACAGTCTGTTGCTATTAGGTAATGAGGACCAGTTTCAAATTCAAAATCTTTTCCATTTATTCTTTGTCAGCATTTCTGACTACTGATCCACGCTGAAGGTGAAGAGGATGTTAAAATTATTGTTGTCGTTCAGTTGTTTCCAACTCTTCGAGATCCGTTTTGGGGTTTTGTTGGCAAAAATACTGGAGTAGTTTGCCATTTCCTTCTCCAGCTCATTTTACAGATGAGGAAACTGAGGCAAACAGGGTTAAGTAACTTGCCTAGGGTCACACAACTAGTAAATGTCTGAGGCTGGATTTGAACTCAAGATGAGTCTTCCTGATTACAGTCCTGGTGCTGTATCAACTTCCCCACCAGCTGCCCCATTAAAATTATTACTGCTTGGTTAATTAGAACACATATGACACCCTCTTCTGTCAAAGCAGTGGGTTCAATAGACCACTGCATCCATTTCTAAGATGCCTTAGAAATTATAGTATTTAGAGCTGTAAAAGGCCTTAAGAAATTAGCTAATTCACCTTCACCTCATGTAGTGTAGTGAGAGAGCACTGTATTTGTTGTCATTAAACTTGGATTCCTATGGAAGTACTCTCATGCAGAATTACCCCCTGTGACTTTGGGAAAGTAATTTAACACCTCTGGACCTCGGTTTCCTTATCTGTAAACATGAGGAAAGTAGAAGGGATTATCTTTAAGACCCCTTCCAATTTTAAAGCCTATGCTTATTTTACAGAATGAGGAAAATGGTGTCCACAGGGATTAAATGTATGACAGGGTTCCCCCCCCCAAATTTAAACTTAAGGTTGTATCAATGGAAACCTAGGTCACAAGAGGTCATAATCCCATTGGATTCTGAACACTGCACTTTCATTGGCACTGACAAACCAGACAGCATAGGGGAGATCTGTAGTACAGAAAAGATATCATAGCCTAGATCAGTTGAAGGGGTCCTAGGGTCACAGAAATGGAGTTAGGTCACCTAGGCCCACCCTTTTATTTTATAGATGATGAAATTAATGATCAGGGAGCACTAATTAACGAAATGACTTGCCTAAAGTCAGGATGTAGTAAAGTAGCAGAATGAGGATTTGAACCCAGCTGGTGATTCAGCCCTTATTCCACCACACACCCCTACTGCTTTGTGTTGTGGCTATACCACCTTTCTGGCCAGCTCTACGGCTCCTAACCAGACATTTGCTGAAACTCTGCCTCCAAAGCTGACACTTGCTGCATCTCTGCTCTAGCCACCACTTTGAGCAGGGAAGCAGCTTCTCCCATACTGCCTCAGGCTTCCCTCCATGCCATCCCTTGTAACACTACTCTGCTTGCTTCTACTACTGCATTTGGCTATACTATTTTCTCTTTTAAATTTTCTACCTACACCAGTCCTAAGCGACTACGTGCCAAATTATGTGATTATTCTTTTAAAAAAAGTCAGACTTTCTAGGCCTCCTGTCTGGTGACTCTTGACATCCTTTAGTCTGTCTTTCCATCTGCTTCACTGTTCTGTAGAGGTGGTACCAACAGGACCCTCAGGAAGATGTCAACCTTCCTCACCTTTTTCCTCAGCCTTATTTTTGGCCAGATTAGAGTGGCTTTCTATTATTTCTAGTACCCTGTCTTTGTTGATTAGTTCCAATTTCTCCCATAGAAAGCTCGATTGTAATCATCTGCATGTTGTCTCCTCCATTAGACTGGGAGGAACTTGAGGACTGTCTTTTACTTTTCTTTGTATTCTTGGCACTTAGTACAGTGACTGGCACGTAGTAGGTCCTTAAATGTTTATTGACCTAGTGACATTTTCCCATTTCAAGGGCAGGTAACCTGTTGCCTGTCCCTTATGCTACATCTTTCTATGACCAAGGATAAACACATACCCATATATTAACCAGCACGCTGCCATACAAATACATGGGAGGAGGAGGAGTACTAGGTGGTCTATACTCTCATTCTTGAATGCGTGCCAAAGCCTTACCCCTCCACATTCCTGACTCCAGTCATCTGGACTAGCTGCTTAGATTCTTTAGAGGGACTGCATGTTTACTATTTTTTGAGGTTCCATTAGTGGAATGCTGTAAGTATATTATTTTTTAATTCTTCCGTTTACTGAGCCCCAGATCTTCCTTTCTAGCTTTGTCCTCTGCAATAAAACAGAATAGGTCTACCCTGCCTTTCATGGCTTCTTTAATATTGTACTCTAACCCACTGTTTCCCAAGCTGTAAACATGAGTTACCCATTTTGCAGGATCTTGGATTTCCTCCTTTATTTTCTTTTGTCAGTTCATTTTAAGTCCATGCTTCTCTGTATTCATGTTCGTTATTTCTTACAGCACATTAATATCCCAAACATCCCTACATGTACAATTTGTTTAGCTACTCCCGAAGTGATGGGCATCTACTTTGTTTCATTTTTTTCTATCACGAAAAAATGTTGCTATAAATATTTTGGTGTATAAGGAGTTTCTTTTGTTAATGACTTCCTTGAGGCATATGGAATCTTTGAGTTTTAATCACCCTATTTGCAAAATTTCAAATTGCTTTGCAGAATAGTTATCCCAATTCACAATTCTACCAATAATTCATTAATGTGCCTATCTTTCTATAAGCCCCCCAACATTGACTCTCCCATCTTTTGTCATTTTTGCCAATTTTAGGGGACAGAAGCAAAACCAGTCAATCAATAAGCATTTACTAAGTGTTTATTATGTGCCAGGCACTGTGCTAAGTGTTAGAAACCTCAGAATAGTTTTGAAAAAAGGTATTTTGACTTACCATAAAAGGTATCAGATAACAAAGAATTCTCAATTTTACAAAATACCTACAAGAACGTGCATTACCTAGACTGCATGATTTTATAAAATCATATCCCTTTTAGACACTTTGCATGGTGCCAAGAAGGCTGGAAAAGCTCAAAAGGGCTACACCAATTAGTCTCTGCTTTCCACTTATTCATGTTTCACCCTACTCAAATTCTGGGAAATGATAATTTGGGCATTAGAACTTATTTTTGATAGGTAAAATGGTTCTAAAGGGAAGGCACATTATTTGCATAAAAAACCATAGTGCATTAGGTTTGCCCAAGTTTTTAGTGAAATGTAAAATCTGACAGCTTCTTGCTATCTCAGGAGCAGAAATAATGAGTCTCAGCAAGAGTGTTTTATAGGTAAAGAAAGTTTCATGCCAGTTGAAATAGTTGTATAAAACAGATTGGAAATGAATTGGGTTTTTTTTTTTAAAACAGTTTAGAGCATTCAGACATTTTCTTTCAACTGTCTAAGAGCTTAGTCATTTAAGTAACATTGTGCACCTACCAAGTGCAAGGTACTCTTGTTAGCTGTTGAGAAGTACTATAAAGACAAATAAAATTCACATTCTACCTAGAGGAACTTACAATATAGGAGAAATGACAAGTTTGCAAATAGCTAGCAGTTATGTAGTGATTTAATGTTTGCAAAGTGCTTTTTTATCCTCACAACAACCCTGTGAGGTAGGTAATACGATTATCATCCCCATTATACAGTTGAGGAAACTGAGGCTGAGAGAGGTTAAGTGACTTGTCCAAGGTCACACATCTAGTAAGTGTCTGAGACAGGATTTAAATTCATAAGGTCTTTTTGAATAAGGTCTTTTTGACTTCAAGTTCCAAGTTCTATCTACCTGGCTAACCAACAGCTTAAATGTAATACAAAAAGTATGACATTACATCAAAAAAGTGCAACTATGACTGAAGACATGAAGAAAGGCTTTTTGAATATGGCTATCATGTTCCTCCTAAGTCATCTGGAGGACAGACATCCCAAGTTCTTTCAACTGATGTTTGTTATATTCATGATCGTACAGCAGGAAAAGGAGTGGTTTGTTGAGTCAGAAGATATAAATTCAAATACCAGCTTTGCTATGTCTGTAATCTTGGGCCAATAATTCCACCTCCCACAGCCTCAGCTTTCTCATCTGTAAAATGAGTATTACGATGTTACATTTTTGAGGCCCCTCAATGATACTGGTTACCTCCTTGGAATACACTCCAGCCTGTCAATACCCTTCTCAAAATATGGAGTCCAGAACCATGCCAGTATATATTTAGGCTAAATAGAGTAGGGTTCATCCTAGAGTGTCAAATAAATCTAAAATTTTATACCCGAAAGAGTTAAAGGGGGTAGAAAGTACCAGAGCAATTTATACCTAAGTGGGTTACCTTCCATTTTAAGATAAATCTGAAACAATGAGGACATGGCTCTAAATTTTTGAATCAAGGCAATGGGAAAATGGGATCTGATTTTAAAAAATGCATCTGTAATTTTCTGGTGGTTGATCTATGGTACGGCATAGTTATGATACTTGGTGAGTCAACTTTTAAACAACAGCACCACCTGCTGTTTACAAAGAATAACAGGATGCTTTAATTTGCTAAGTGTTTTAGAGGAATGTATCGTTTTTCTGACATGCTTCAGTCTAGATGGGCTTAGCTTTACCAGTTGGCTGTATCTCTAGCTTTTTTCTTGTTTAGTTCTAAGATTAAGGTATTGAATATATACCATTAATCAATTAATATGTTTCATATGTTTTTATAAGCTTAAATTATGGCCATTTGTTCAAAGTATTATAATTATAAAA